CAAAGTGTACTTCGCTCTGTCTTGTCGGAAAGGACGGTGGGCGTGCACGCACCACGCAGCATGCCGCACTCCCCCGCCCGCCGTCCATTTCAAAAACCATGCACGGTGATCGCGGGGCGCCCGCGTATGATCCAGATGTTGGTGCTAAGTCAACTGTTCTCCGCCTACAGGAGTCCTAGCTCAAGCCGTATAAAAACTGTCCACAAATCCACCCCTCAATTCTGCCGCTACACGCGTCCTCTGTTGCGCATGGTTTCCGCTGTTGCGCATGGCTTCCTCTGCTATCAGCATGTCTTTCTGTTGTGCCCCGTGGTTCCCTATGTTGCACATGGGTTCCTCTTCTAACTTCAGATGTTGCACATGGTGTCCTCTATTGCGCATGGCTTCCTCTGCTATCAGCATGGCCTCCTCTGTATCCGCATGGTTCCCTCTGCTATTCCAAGGGCCTCCTGTGGCCATTCCAGATGGCATCCCAACAATCGTCAAACAATCATCAAACTCAGAAGTATAGCAGAGTGGGGAATAATAAAGTGAGGGTAAGGTAGGAGTAGAGAAGAATAGATGAATAACGCCGAACATACTATATATTGAGTAGCACAGAGCAGATTTGAACAGGGTAGAGTAGAGCAGAACAGCGGCAGAGTAGGCGTAGAGAATAATAGAAAGTAGAGTCTAGCAGGAGAAGTATGGAGAGAGTAGGATAGAGCAGGGCAAAGTAGAGCATGGTAGACTGCGAGAAATATATTTGCCCATGTCCTCTGAAGCTTGAAAATTCGGGCCCCCATTCACCAGAAATCCGAGGTGCACTGGATATGGATCCATCTGCCCCAATAGGGGCTGGGATGTGCGCCTCGGCCTTGTGGCGCCTTTTCAAAAAATTCCAAGACGCACTGGATATGGATACGGTACTTGCCCGCAGAAATGTGAGACTAGCGTCAGGTAGAACAGAACAAACTACAGCACGAGAGGAGTAGAGTGGAGTGTACTAGGGTATGGTACAGAACTCGAGTAGACGGACGGGAGGCCAGGGAGGCCACGGAAGGCATCGGGAGTCAACCAGCCGCGCACAGATTAGTTGTTTGGAAAACTGATGCATCAGATTAAAGACAGGCTGTTCAGGAATCCCACCAGCCCTCTGAGCGTGAGTGGCTAAGTTAAGGCAGTTTCCTCTTCCAACCCCCTCTCTTCCCCTTCGTGGAGGGGTTTGCCCCTGCTCCCTATTCATGTACATCCCCTCCCCCACCCGACGGCAGCCAACCCGAACCATTACCCCCACCCCCACCCCACAATCTCTGTCACAGAACAATACCAGGTACACTCCCCCTCCAAATCAGGAGCATGCGCGGGCGCGCCGCGACCACTTTGCACTAGTTTCCGAAATGGACGGCGAGACGGGGGAGGAAAGCTGAGGGCTTTCGCCCTGGAGGCGGTCAGAATCAGGCGAAGATCAATCGAGGACCTCTGCATTCCGGCGGCTTTGCACGCCTCGGACGCCGCGGCCTGCTCAGAGCGCTCCGGAGCGCTCTGCGAGCGTTCTGGAACGCTCTGGAACTGATTGATCCTCGTCCTAGCCCCGTCCAGACAAAAGCTGAGGGGAATGATCTCGTGACACGCCCTGCTTACCGATCGCCCAGAAGCCCACGCCCGTGGCCGAAGCTCCGCCGGTCGATGCCGACCACACTGGACGCGCCACCCTCCCCGTCATCCTCTCGATTCCTTCGCCGTCTTCCTCGTCCCGTTCCTCATCATTATTCCTCCTTCTCTTCTTCCTTCTTATCTTCCTCCTCCCTCTTCCTCCTTCTTCCTCCTCCCTCTTCCTCCTCCTCCTTCTTCCTCCTCCCTCCTCCTTCTTCCTCCTCCTTTTTCCAGTGGCTCTCTCTTCGCCCCACCAATCCAGGACCGAAGGGGCTGCTCGAGCGAAAAAAGACTATGGGCCTCGGACCAACATCCGAGGACGGGCTCTTGCGTCAGGTGTGCGGCGTCACCTGGGGCAGCGCTGAGCACTACCCGCCAGGCCGTGCCCCCCTCAAACAAGGGGAGACCACCGAAGCCACTCCCTGTGAGCCGAGGTCTGCGGCGTCACCCGGGGCAGCGCTCCGCACTACCCACCAGACCGTGCCCCCCTCAAAAAAGGGGAGACCACCGATGCCGCTCCCTCCAGGTCCTCGAGCACATGCCAGGCAAGAAATACAAGAAGAGCAACTGCCAGGCATCATTGCTGAGGACATGTGACATCATCTCTGGGCGGCGCCAAGCCAGCTAAGCCATGTCTAGCGCGCCGCTCAGTACTAGGGAAATTGTTGATTTGGTGGCGGCGCCTCACGAAGCCCTGCACTCTACTCTGTCCAGGCTCTCCGATACACTCCCATTGCTTCAGCTGGGTCTGTACCTCTATGATGTGGTCGATCGCAGCCCTGCGGCGCACAAAAGGTCGAGCCTCAGCGTTGCGACTCACAAGAAATGGGGACACGGCCTGACGGCGCATTTCATCCAAAGCTTTCAGGGCCTCGGCTACCGACACACCAGGATGGGTAGCCTGACATAGCACGTCCCGCGGCGGGTTCTCGGCCCCGCCCACCCCCTCAGAGCCTTCGACCAGGGCGGGGGGAACGCCTCTGGTCGGAAACTGCCACGGCGTCTGCACGTCGTCGTGCTTCGCCGTCTTATAATAGGAGAACGCCGTTGTGCCGCAAGTGCATACGAGGCCTTGCCCGAACTCCACAACGGCTTCGCCGGCAACGACTCCCAGCGCCCAGCACCCGGGACGAAAGCGGCAACTTCTGCCCGCAACTTGCCCCGTGCTGCCACACCACTCCGTTCTTGTGCGTCCAGTCTGGGCGAAGATGTGCTCGCAACTTGAAAAGAGGGCTTGACCACCTCGGGCACGACCGGCTTGTCTGGCAATGCCTGCTGACCGAAGTGAACCTGTTTAGCTGGCAACGTGACCGAGGAGTGCCTCGCCTTGTCGCCATCCTTCTTGACAAGCAAATACTGCTTATGCACTCCAGGCGGCAACTGAAAGAGGTGAGCCACATTCCGCAGAGCCTCGCCCATATTGTGGCTGTGATGCCCCTGCTGGGCATCGAGCTCCCAATGCAACAACAGCGACTTGCCAAGTTTGGTGAGGCGATCACTGAGCATACTAATCAACGAATCTGGAGCCACCAACGAACGAATCGAGAGGGAAACTGCCTCGCCGATCACTTCTGCGTCGGACACCTGGCGTGCCTCCACCCGCATTTTGGTGGCTTCTAGCTCCGCCTTGAGCTTGCGCACAAGATTGTCTGCAGCCTGCACGGCTCTAACACGCCGTTGCCTCCTAACGGCCGTGCGAAAAGCAGACCCTGTCTCCCGCCACACGCAAGGGCGGTTCCCGCAGCCATCGAACAACTCACCAGAATCAGGCACCATGAGCTAAGCACATCGAGCCAAGATGATGGGGAGAGCGGCCTGAGCCAAAATGGCTACGGACAATTTCTTCCTCCTCCCTCCTCCTCCTTCTTCCTCCTCCTTCCTCCTCCTTCTCTTCCTCCTCCTCTTCCTCCTTCGCTTCCTCCTCCCTCTTCCTCCTCCCTTCCGATCGGGTGCCTCCAGCCCGAAAGCGGAGGCAGCCGCCGCCCTGGACGGCAGGCAGGAGGCCCCCCATCCAGCGGCATGGGGATCTCCAGGGATGCAACGGGATTGGGACTTTGGCCCGGCAGTGTTTCTGTCGAACGAAATGCGCACGCCCGGGATGGGTACGGAAACAGATGCCAATGGCGCGGCGGACTTCCTCGACGTTACTAACTATCTATAGAGGTTAACCAGAACTCTGCTAAGTGGGTGCTAACAAACCGAGACGAAGTCACCTACGACGTGGTACTTAGCCAACCAGCTATTAAGTGGTTACCGGATTAAGCTCAGTAGTTACTAAAATTTGGAACGAGGCCCAAAAAGCAAGTGCTGTCAAACACTGCCAGCGGCCGCTGTTGGGCAGGCGGCCTTTCCCCTCGGACGGACCATGCCTGCGGGCGACGCCGACGGCGAGTCCTGGCCAAAATCGGCAGGAAGCGATGGCGGTCTTCATCCTTAAGTCTTGCTGTACCAGTGTCGATCTTACCCAAAACAGCATTCTCGGGAGCGATCAAGAGGGGGGCGTCCAAGAGGGGTGGGTGCAAATCATGACTGGCGGCATGTGCGCGGCCCAGCGGGGGGGGCCAGGCACGTAATGAAGCGAGAAGAGGCGCCATGAAATCTGGGGAGATCTCATGGCCCCCGCCATGATATCCACCCCCCCTAGTCATCACCCCCCTCTTTTCCGCCCCCGACCAAAACAGCATTCTCGGCCCCAAGTCAAATCGGTCCGGGCTTTCGCCGAGCAGCGATGGAGCAGAGATTCCAGCCGCCGCCGCAGGTGCGCAACACCCCGTAGCGGCGCCCCCTGGCGCCTTCAGTCCCCCGAGGAGGGCCCGGGGCGGGAAGAGAAGGAGGACACTGACCCAGCTCCTGCGTGAAGGCCTGCAGGCAACCGCATGTGAACCCTGCCCCTGAGGGTCGGATTTCTGAGGAAAAGAGCTGCTGGGGTTCAGAATCAGCAGGACATCTGCGGCCAGATGAGCCCCAGCGGAGGTGTCCGAGACCCCCGCGTCGAGTGGACCCGCGGGGGCAGGGTGCGCAAGAGGCGGCAGAGCCCCGACTAGCAGGGCCCGTCTCCACCCTCTCACCTGCGAAAATCCGTTCCCTTATCGGCAGCAAGCCCCGCGGCAGCCTCGACAACACACTCAAGCCCGCTCTTATGTGGCCGTGTGGAGGGCAAGGAACAGCGAGCAGGTGGGCGGTGGCCACACAATACCTCCCACGATCTCGACAAAACAAAACCCCCCTGATGACATCTGAGGAGAATGATATGGAAGCAGACGAACACGAGGAGAAGGAGGAGGAGGAAAACAAGGAGGAACAGGAAAACACGGGAGCGCAGCAGAGTCCTCCCTCCACCCACCCACCAACCCAAACCCTCGCGCCTCAACCCGCAAGGTGTCTGGGAGGTCGTGGAACGGTTCCTTCTCGTCCTGGGCCCCCAGGAGGTGGAGGAGACGGAAGAGGATAAGGTGGTCAGGAGTGGCAGGGCTGGGGCTGTCGGGCGCATCGAGATGCCCACTGTGGATACGCGCGCGCTGTGTGCGCGGGGAACGCTGTATTGTCCACAACAGATAACGTCGTTCACAAGAACCCATGTTAACTTCAAAATCCAATCGGTCACAGTTCAGGGTGGACTTTAGTGTTCAGGCCAAGATGGCCACTTTTCTCTTCTGGACAAAAGAACCTGTTCCGACAATGTAAACTTTACCAGGCCAAGGCACACGGCGAGTACGCGTGCATACGCGCGCGTACGCGCGCGACCGCGTGCGCGGGGAGTGCTGTATTGTCCACAATAGAAAACATTCACAAGAGCCCATGTTAACTCGGCGGTGGACAAACCTCCCTTGAATAAACCTCCCCTTAGCGAAAACGGCCTGGGACCGAAACCGACGGATCTGGACCCGCAAAAGTGACGGCCGCGACGCCCTCTCGCGAGCCGAAAACGGCCAATTCCTCAATCGACGTGTCAGGGTAGGAGGTCTGTCCACCCCCGACTAACTTCAACATCCACTCGGTCACCGTTAAGGGTTGACAGCAGTTTCCAGGCCAACATAGCGACCTCTGCATCCTGGGCAATACACAGCCAATGCCGACAATGCAAGCCCTATCAGGCCAAGGCGCGCGCGCGCTCGCCCGCGTGCGCGGGGGGTGCTGTACTGTCGCAAGGGTGCAGTAAACTCAAGGAGCACTTGGCGCCTGGGGGGTTCTTCGGCAGCGGGCCGTTTGATTGCCCGAAATACAACTGGGAAGAAACCCAGGGGATCCTGGGCGCGAAAATTTCTTGGCAACCGCGAGAACCCCCTCGCGCAACATGCGGCGCGGAAGAACCAAAGGCACCCTGACGAAAGACATCCGGCTTCTTGATGCGCGCCCCCACTGTAATGGAGTCTTGTGGGGCCTCCACAAATACAGCACCAATCGGCTGCCAGGTGGCGGCCCCGAACAACGGCGCCAATCACCCCACCAATCGAGCGACGACCCTCCCCCCAACCCAGCATCATCCGCGCTTCCCCAGCATCTCTCGGTGCTACTACCACTGATACTCTGAGGCGGAAGAGGAAGCCAAAACACAGGAAAATGGAGAGCAGGATGGGGAGGGGCATTGAGAGGGGGGGACTGGCTGGCTCAGGGGGGGGGGGAACATCTACGTATCTGGAATCGGCCGATAGATCGGCGATAGGCCCCCGATATCGAATCCGCATGTTCCTTGGCATGGTGGGCTATCAGGCCCCTATCGGCAATGAACGAGCGATTCGGGGTCGATGCATCCCCCCTGAGCATATCCACCCCCCACGTTGCCCCTGAGGAGCTGCTCTGGTCGCGAGACCCTCGCATGTCAGCGCCGCGAGCACCTGCTCGTGCACCCTCAGGCGCCTCAGACTTTGGACGGCTGCCTGCCCATTGGGACCTACAGGGCCTAGGGAGCGAGAGAGAGAGAGAGAGACAGAGCGCGAGAGAGAGGGATGCCAAATGAAACTGCCAAGTTCTCCTCCGCAGAGGGGACGGGATATCCACCGTGCGGAGCACGAATCAGGGAGGATGAAAGCCAAGCATGATCCTCAGAAAGCGCCGCAACGAGGCTAAGCCACCAGTTTAAGCACATCTGATTGCGGGTTCGGGTACTTGGACCGGATGTCAGGACCGTCCTTCGTCATGCCACCAGGGCCCCAAAGGCTCTGCCACTGTGAATCCTCTTCCATCACCCTTCGCCTTCGGCCCTCCGTCTCCCCTCCTCCCTCCTTCTCCCCTCCTCCGCCCTCCCTCGCCCCTTCCCCCTCCTGCCTCACCCCCCCTCCGCCCTCTCCCCTCGCCCCTCCTCGTCCCCCTAAACAGGGCTAGGATCGGGATAACTCGCTCCAGAGCGTTCCGGAGCGCTCTCAGAGCGTTCCGGAACGCTCTGGAGCGGCCGCGGCGCCCAATACATCCTTCAAACCCGCCGATTCTCAGATATTTCGAGTTATCCCGATCCGATTTTGTCCCGATCTTCGTGCCGTTTTACCCCCCTCCTGCCGAACCGCCTCGCAACGCCGGGGTCCTCGGACCAGCGCACGGCCAGGTAGAAGTCGAGGGGCTCCCCGTGGGGCAGCGGCCTCCGCGCGAGGGAGAGAGCCGCAGGCTTGCGCCAGAGGAGGAGGACGCGCGGGCTCCGGCCATGCACGCTGCCTGGGCTTTCGGTGGGGCTCCCTCCCTATGGGGCCACGAAGCGCCGTGCTGGGCCGGCGAAAATGCCACATTGGGTGTGTGGGGGACGCATGCGGGCGGTCCCACTCTGGAGGCTTCGGTGAAGCTCCCCGTGGGGGGCGCATGCGGGCGGTTCCACTGGGGGCTTCGGCGGAGCTCCCCTTGGGGCCACGCAGCGCTGTGCTGGCAGGAGGCGGAGGAGGCGGGGCCCGGGGGAAAGAGGGCCCCTGGACCCTCTACAGGCCCAGCGGCAGTCGAGGTACGATCCGGGCTGAAGAGATGGTCCTGGGGGAGCGGGATTCGGCGGTGGACGAGCCTCCCTGTTGTAAACCTCCCCTCAGTGAACACGGCCCGGGACCGAAACCGACGGACCTGGACCCGCAAAAAGGACGGCCGCGACGCCCTCTCGCGAACAGAAGACGGCCAATTCCGTAATCGACGTGTCAGGGTAGGAGGTCTGTCCGACCCCGAGGGATGGGTGGGACGACGGGTGCCCGGGGGCGGTCCCGACGAGACTCGGGAGCGGCCAAGAGGGGGGTGTCCAAGAGGGGGGGGTGCAAATCATGACCGGCGGCATGTGCGCGGCCCAGCGAGGAGACCAGGGACGTAATGAAAGAAGAAGAGGCGCCCTGAGATCTGGGGAGATATCATGGCCCACGCCATAATATCCACCCCCCCTGGTCATCACCCCCCTCTTTTCCGCCCCCGAAAGACGCAGACGGCTCGAGGACTCGGGATGGGAGTGGGTCCGGGAGGGGACGCGCAGGGACAAGCCGGCACTTTGCGCTCTCCCCGGAGGCGCAGGTCCGAACCGAGCGCGTTCGGCACCAGCGCGTCGCCCCGCCATCGCTCGGCAGGCCCCTCCCCGTGCAGGTCTCGGTCTCGTGCGTGAGCTTTCCTCGCAAGCTGGCTACCTACCAAACCACCCCAACCCAACCCGAAGACCCGAATTTCGGGTTGGGGGGGGTACGGGTTCCATATCATATGGACCATGTGTTTTCTCGATGTTCCCCGACCCCCCCCCCCCACTGGAAATGGAGTGCAAATTGAGGTCTTCGGGTTGGGTTGGGGTGGTTTGGTAGGTGGTGGCAGGCTGGCCCGGCATGCTCCTCGGTGGCCCTCGCCGAGAAAAAATGCACACGTCCGAGCGATGCCAGGTCATCGAGCAGGAGGAGGAGGAGGAGGAGGAGAAGAGGAGGAGGAGGAGGAGGAGGAGATCGTCATACCCTGGCGGTGTGGCCGTGCGAGGGGCGGCGCGCGCGCGCGCTCGGAAGCCTCAGCGTCGGCGCCCGCGTCACGGGGGCGCGCGCTGGGGCTTCAGGGGCCTTGGAAGGCCATGTCGTAGCTTTCCGAGCGGGGCGCGGCCGACGAGAAAGGTGGAGGAGGAGGAGGGGGAGGAGGAGGAGGAGGAGGAGGACAAGGAGGAGGAGGAGGAGGGAGGAGGAGTACAAGGAGGAGTACAAGGAGGAGGAGGAGGAGGAGGAGGAGGAGGAGGAGGAGGAGGAGGAGGAGGAGGGAGAGCGCCCTCCGCCGAGCATGCCCTGCGAGATCTCCGAAAGCCCGGTTTCGGGCCCCGGGGCCGTCACACATCGACCGGGCTCGACAAAGGCCGCAGAAAGATCGTGTCTAGAGCTCCGGTCGCGATGTTTCGCGATGTTGCTACTTTTTCGCAGCGTCGGATCTCAGGAGAGACGGGAGGAGAAGAAGCCGGCCGCGGAAGAGGGACACAAGGCGGGCAAGGCGCTCAGGACGCAATGTCCTTGACGACCGTGCCGTGGTCCAAGACACGGGCAAGAGAGGCGCAAAGCGCGGCGTCATCGCGCCCTACGAGGCCAGGACTGCGAACTATGAGATCTGGCCCTGAATAAAGGTATCAGGCGCCGCGGCCGCTCCGGAGCGCTCCAGAACGTTGTGAGAGCGTTCAGGAACGCGTTGCAACGATGTATCACAGTCCTCCACCCCCCCGATCTCCCGCGCGGGACGCAGAATCCCACCCACCCACCAGGGCCAGCCAGCATCACATCGAGAAGTCGGATCGGATCGGAATCTGCATCCAGTCGGGCCGCATCGGCAAAAGGCTGGAATCTGGGCCGATCCGCGCAGGGATGCGCAACGACGCCCGTGCGAACGTCGGGCCGCATCGGATCGGAGCCGAGCGAGCGGCAGGAGGCGGAGAGGCAGGGAAGCGAACAGGAAAGGCCCGTGAGGGTGGGGCACCAGGGGGGGTAACGCTGCACCCAGAGCGAGGTCCTCGTTTTATCACACACTTTTGGAGCAGGGACCGACCGTCCCGGCAATCCTAATAGTCCTACCACGACATGCTCTTAGAACCAGGAAGTGTCCTAAAAACAAACACGTGTTCTTAGAACATTACTCCGATGTGCTAAAACAAGACAGTCTCAACCAGAAATGTTCTAAGAACACTTCGTGCAAACCACAAAAGGTTCTTAGAACAAGTCTCGGGCAGGCCTGTAGGCGAGCCAGGACGCTACGCCACTGATTGAACTCTGTCCTCGGCGGCCGCGCGCTCTGCGACACAGCGGTGGCGGCGGGTGAAACGGACATCGTGCCTGCGCGTGCTCGTGCAAACGACAGAGGAACAAAAAACGGCATCAACCCAAGTCGGCGGTGAACAAGCCTCCCTTTAGCAAACCACCCTTTACCCGCAAAAGTGACGGCCGCGACGCCCTCTCGCGACCCG